TCCTGTTCTTCCTCTAGACACTTGATGGTACATTAGACAAACCCGTGTTAAGACCTGATGTGTTTAGCTGCAGGATGAGGACCAGCTCGTGCCCTCGCCTGAACCTGGATCGGTTTTCTCAGACAAGAAGCCTCGAGAAGCATCGAGTGACAGAACAACCTTTTTATTTGATTCTAGCCATAAAATATTTTGTCTTGAAAGAGTGAAAGCTGTCATATCAAGTTAGTAGGAGGCAGGAAAAAGTTTTATCAAAGCCAGGAGTACAGGTGAGATGACAGAGAGAGCCCTTCCATCAACTGAGCTACAGTTTACTATGATTGTCGTTATGCACCAGAATGCTTCGCTAAACCAGATGTACAAATTCACCAGCTAGAAGCAATTTACAACATGCACTTTATGGAGAAAGATTGCATAGCTCCTCACTGTGTTGCCCTTTAAAGATGTGCTTTTAAAAAGAATCCAGTTTTGGATGAGGCCTTTCTGAAAAGCACTAAATTCAGAAAAGCCCTGTTCTGTATCCACCGCGGCGCCGTCCTCACAGATGTTCCTCAGAAAATCGGAAACGTCCACAGGGGAGAAGAAAGTCAGCCCCGTCGAAGCTGAGTTCAAAATCCATCCCAGAGAGAGGCTTCATGCAGTAACCGTATCCCCTCTGGAATGACTGCATGATCGAGATTCAAACTCCCGGGCTCCTGACAGTCCAGGTCTCAGGATCTTTCTGGAAAGAAGACTCCCCGTCGGCAGTAGAAAGGACAGGCACTGAGTCGAGCTGGGTCCGGGGTTCAGGTGGAATCGGGGTCGAAGAGAGACGTCTTTCCTCTGCAGGATCTCAGCTGCCTCATATTCGTATGTGGAAATTGCTGAAGACACAAAACAAGCAGATGTGGGGGACTTCTAGGACTGACTGAATCATCATCAACTGTTTGAAGCTCTCAGGCTGTAACTGGATGAAACTGTGAAATTTAGCCTCGTTGCATCAACTGCAGGATGGTAATGGTACATCTCAGTTGCTGTCAGGAGTCTATTTTTACTCTTTAAATTAAAACTCGGACAGTTATCTTTGCATGTAATGTTTCATAGGATTCACCTCCAGAGCAGAGCGACTGGAAAAATACTCACTTTGAGCTGCCTCAAACTACTTTACAATGTCGGGTAAATACCCCACAGTGCTACAGAGAAAACTTCCACAATTAGCAGATGTAAATGACTGGACGAGCGTAAACGCTGCTATCTGTACGCCGCACCTTGCAGACGCGCGTTCACGCTGACGTTTATGACAGTCGAGCTGCTCGGCTTTGTGACGTCGGGTTAACTGGCCGACCGTAACCAGGGTGACGCGGGAGGTGATGTACCCGCTAGTAAACATAATTGCTTTCCAGCTTTCTCTTTTTACAGTTTAACTGCTTCTGTTGCCATAGTAACGCCAACCCTTGGGCCCAGTTTCCAGCTATTATCTCTGAGCGGCGGTCCAGTGTGAAAGACAAATTAATGACTGAACTCAATGACTTGATAAACGCACCCTCCTCCTCCTCACTCTGCTCTTCTTCCTCTTGTCTCTCCCTTCACCCCTCCTCTGTGCTCGCTGTGCTCGCTGTGGGACACTGTGATGGATTGCCAGCAGTAAAACTCGTGGGTTTTATCTCTGCAGCTTTATGCAGAGCAGCAGAAGACTCAGCAGCCTGAGTGAGAAGCACTCACAGCCAGGATCAGGACCTGGATCAGGACCTGGATCACAACCATCCTCTGTCCTTTGAGGAGACGTCCCGCCAGCAGCTTCACGGTGAAGCCTCTCATTGATTTGATGCTGTCCCTTCATGCAGCCCCTCAGTTCAGCCTCAATTGTGAAACACCTGATGTGTGTTGAGCAGCAGATCAAACAAGAACTATAAATGGCTTCCAGCGCACAGTCAGGCCTGTAAGACTCATTTAGTAAGTTTGACACCGCTGCATTAGTGGGAGGAACATACTGAGCCGCAGCACAGTCTGTACGGCTGACTGTGAGTTAAAAGGCTAAAATAGTGCGTGTTTTTGTGGTGGATGGATGAAAACTGTTGATAACCCTGCAGATCATCGTGTTTTAGTGATACTGCCAGCAGAACAGAAGAAAACTGACCCTAAAGCATATTTTCCTCCAAAAAATGCTGCTTCAAGAGCAGAGAGCACAGAGCTGATGTGTTATGTGACATTATTGTGGTGAGCTGGCAACAGCACCCCATGACAGCCTGGAGGGGAAGTATGAGAAACAGTCAGACAACAGTCTGAGCAGCAGAAAACACTTTGGACCGATTCCAAACACAGAAATTAAGGATTAAAAAACAGACCCAGGATTTACCAATCACATACTTTTCTAACTTTGCGCTGTCGCTGTGGAGGTTTGTGGGAGAGGAGCAGCCACGTCTCTGCCTTACTTTAAAAAACGAACACATAACAGAAGAGATGACGGTACCTCAGAAAGTCAGGAGCCTTGGAGATCATGTTCTCAAAGTCGGCGAACGAGAGCTTGTGGTCTCCGTCGAGGTCGGCCTCCTCGATGGCTTTGTCACACACCAGCGTGACCTCCTCGGGCATCAGCTCCCCTTTGGTCAGCTTGTTCAGGGTCTTCTCCAGGTCCTCCTTACAGATGAAGTTGTCCCTGTTAAAGTCTGGACCAGATCCCCAACGAGACGACTCAGTACTGAGCTGCCACAAAACCTGAACTTATTCTACTAATGATCAACAGTAATAACTGCAAATAATGAAATCATTTTGTAAACTACACATTTTTTTAGGCTTTATTTAGATTTTTCATATATTATTTTGAAACCATTTAAATCTATTTAGATTTAATGTTAATTTAATGACATTTAATTAATATTTTGAAGAATAATTTTTAGACTAATAATAATTATTTAAATTTTTTGATTATTTTGCATGATAATTCTTTTATTTTTGGCCATTTTATTTACATTTAGGAGAGATTTGTGTATATTAACATTTTAGTTTCTTTTAATATTTTCAGAAATTCTAATGATCATTTTGCAGGAACTAATAATTTTATCTTAATTATATACTTACGAAGTTGAAATAATTAATTAAAATAATATTTTATATAATCATGCTTAGGGATGCAACGATACCAATTTTTTCAAACCGATACGATACCGATACTTGGATCTGAGTACTTGCCGATACAGAGTACAAAAACC